ATAAAAACTGTTGACAGTAGAAACAGCCATCATTACCAATCTATCATTTACTCAGAAGAACTCTTGAGAAGAAGAACTGGAAGGGCCATAATATTGAAAACAGACTACATAATCAGATTTCATAGTGGCAGATGTTTCCAGATTGTTCTCTAATAATTGACGTTGCTATATTAATATTAAAATTTATGAAGGCTTCTGGAGGTGATTCTTACCTCAAAAAGGTGTGGGATCTGTCGTTTGGAGAGAAAATCCTTCGCGTCGTTTGTGTTCATTCTTGTCGGTTATCCAGAGCAGCGTTTGTGTCTATCTGCTCATCTGTTGCGTTTCCCCCTCAGAGCAGCTGTGCTGTCTTGCACCATCGCATTGGCTTGTTCTACAGCTTTGACGCCGATGACCTCCGGGCGATGTTTCTATTCATCAGTTGTTAGATATAGTCACGCTCATGAATGCTGAGCTCAAAGTGACCCTTAGTGTGTAGTCGCGAGTAATAAGCTAATCGGCTAGTATCGAGTATCATTACCGCAATACACAAATAAATAAATAAATAATAAAAAAGAGATTTATCAGATATGTTAGAGATTTGTGTGTGTGTGTGTGTGTGTGTGTGTGTGTGTGCGCGCGCGCGCGCGCGTTTTTGTGACAAATGACATAAATTTGTATAATGACGAAGGTATGGCATAGGTATTACAAGGAGAAGGTGACTTTTCAGGACATTACCCCATGTCCCCACTTTTCAAAACGCTTATAAATCACACAGAATGGAGTGTATTGAAAATCTGAAATAGCACAAAGTTTCCTGTAAGGGGTAGGTTTAGGGGTAGGGTTGGTGTAGGGCAATAGAATATACGGTCTGTACAGTATAAAAACCATTACGCCTATGGGATGTCCCCACTTTTCACAAAAACAAACCTGTGCGTGTGTGTGTGTGCGTGCGTGCGTGCGTGTGTGTGTGTTTGACAACAAATTACAAGCTATCTAATTTGATAAAACATAGCCTAACCAGCTAGTACAGTTAGCTAGAGATCTTTATTTTATGTTATAGCGTTTTTTGTAAACAAAACACTGTTTTTGTGATGTAATTGTAAGTAAATCTTTAATCAAGTGAAAAATAATGACATTGACAAAGGATCAAAAGTGAGGAATGTTTCTGTCACTATACAGAAATTAATATTTGCATGAATAAGTAAGTGAATAAATAAATAAATACTCCGTTCCCACCACATCTTTCAAAGTGCTGGGTAGATTACAGTACTTGCAAATTGTAGTCTAGATTACAAATTACATAATTGTAGCTAGTAACGTAATCTGTTGGTTTACACATTGGATTAGGTCATGTATTTTGGCTGTTTTTTATTGCTTTTAGATTACATTTCACCTAACTTGTAAGAAAATGTTTCAAATGTTTCCATTCTTTTGTTATCAACATCATGAAGTGCATTAAACATTAGCCTACATTATGCCAGTGTTTCCCAAACTGGGGTTCCTGAAATAACTGCAGGGGGTTGCTGAGGTGATAAAAAGCTAATAATTAATTAAATCATAAAAATTTCAAATTAAACTAAATTGTGTGACCTCTCAATTTTCCATGTAATTAGTCACCTGTGCATTTCTATAAAACTGGAAGACTTTCCAAATGTATACAAGCAGTAGGATTTTTATAAAAAGGAAATTCAAAATAGACAAATTTAGAAAGGAAAAAAAAAGAAGAATTAGGATGAATACCTCTAATTAGAAACTACCTAGCAATGATCATTCATGACTTCATTCCTTCTTTTTACGTAAATTGGGGCCAAATTGTCCTAGGCTACTTTGTTCCTCGTTTTAGTTAAATCCACAATTTAGACATACTAAATTAAACAGGGAGATGTATTAGTGCAGTACAATGTGGCCAAAAATGAATAAAGAGTGAGAGCCATTTAAATAAAACAAGATCAACAAATTATTAAGTTGATATCTTTTTTTCTGCATGTCATGTGGCTCTGTACAAAAATGATGGTTGTTCTCAAACAAGCTTTAAACGAAAATAATCCCACCTCAAATTGATTGAGCCAATCTTGTTGTGTCTGCACAAACAAACAGAATCCATTTGATTTTTATGTGTGAAATTAAATGCCCTCTCGAAATTTTGAAATCTGACTTGTGGTCACAGAATATTTAAAGGGGTCATATGATGCGATTAAAATTTTTCCTTTCTCTTTGGAGTGTTACAAGCTCTTGGTGCATAAAGAAGATCTGTAAAGTTGCAAAGACTAAAGTCTCAAATCCAAATAGATATTCTTTATAAAAGTCAACCACGCCTACCTAAAATGGCTTGTTCTAACACGCCCCCACATATCTACGTCATGATGTGAGAAGATTTGCATAACGCCGCCCAAATGTTCACGCAAAGAAAGAAGGCGTAACTTTTATTCTCGCTGTAGTATTGTTGCCGCCGCCGCCATGTCGTGAAGACGCTGTGTGTTTCATTGTGAAAGCGAAACTACTTTGTTTGGCCTTCCAAAAGAGGACACAACTAGAAATCAGTGGTTAAGTTGTATTTACAACACTGTTCCAGAACAGTTCAACCCAAATATTTTAGCAACGTCATATGACCCCTTTAAACCTCAATCTGTATATATTTATACTTAAAGAGAATATATATATATAGCCTTGATTTAAGTTCAAGCCAACCTTAAATGTATAGTTCACCAAAAAATTGCTCTCCCTCAAGGTGATCCAAACCTGTATGAGATATTTTGAAGAATTGTTGGTCCCCATTGTCTTCCATAGTATGGAAAAATACTATGGACATCAATGGGGACCATTGTCTTCTTTTGTGTTAAGCAGAAGAAAGAATTTCGGTTACACTTTATTTTAAGGTGTCCTTGTTACAGTGTAATTATACATTTAAGTACTGAGTAATATTAATTAACTACACATACTTATCATATGGTTAGGGTTAGGATTAGGGTTTGTCTTAGGGTTACTTGCATGTAATTATGCATAATTTATTGTTATTATATTAGAAATCACATGTATGTGTAACAAGGACACCTTAAAATAAAGTGTTAAATTCATACAGGTTTGGAACAACTTGAGGGTGACTAAAAGATGACAAAATTTTCATTTTTAGGGTGAACCATCCCTTTAAGTGTTTTTTACACTGCTTGAAGGAGACAGCATATTCATAACATTTTGCTTGGAAATCATACTATCATCCCCACTGAAAAATAATATTAAAGACAAACTAAAACCATACTAAAACATCACTTTTATTCCAATGAAACAAAAAGTCATGTTAAACAGTGCACCTTGAAATGAGTCTATCCACTTTTCACAGACTAACAATTATGCACTTTTTAATGCTAAAGATGGATTTAGCCTTTCTTAAGTCCTCTGAAAGAAGTCTGTTACTATTAGTATTACTTATATTACTTATGAGCAGAATTAGACAACCACATGAACTGATCCATGAGCCATACAACTTCACTGTCATGCCAAATACAATTGCTCCCATCTGCTAGGCATCAGTTAATTCATATTCAGTGTGTGCTGAAACACACTTTCCACTTGAGTTAAATGAACACGCACCTGTTTGGAGATTATGTGCTGCCATTGTTTGTCACACCGATCTATATTGTGTTGTGTGACAGTAGTTAGTAATATTATCCTTGGAAAGCATCATGTTAATCGTTTTCTATGGTGTTGCTTTGCTTGAAATCTGCACAAACACTTTTGTGAAAGAACAATTGTTGGAACATACAAACATGTGAGTGTTTCCATTTCCTCAGAATCACATCTGCTGGGTTTGGATTCACCTCAGGGTAACTCAGGGTGACTGTAAAAATATGAAACAATTGAACATGATATAATCCTACTAATTAAAATAAACCTATATTACTGCCCCCTAACCCCAGCCTTGGAAGATCTCTTAAAATGTGCTGCCAGAGAGTTAGAGTTTGCAGAAGACTTTGTAGAAGTCGTATCAGAAGTGCCACAGTCTCTAGCTTGAGCCCTCAGAGGTTTTGGACTTATAATTTAAGTCTGTTTCATCATTTTCATCAGAAGGAAAAGAAACCCGTTGTTCATCCATGCGTTTGGATTGCACCCTCTGGATAAGGCTGAATAAGTCTTCATCTGGGTCTGGTGCTGGTGGCAAAGAGCACCTCTGATCATTGATTCTGGAGGACTGGAGGGGGAGAGAAGTGAGAAAGTTCACAACATGCAAACAGAGGACGTCTGAGGAACGTAAGTGTAAGTCACATTTGTACATCTCACATCTGATATCGAATTTCAATTGCTAATGTGCTACCTGATACTTTATGAGCATGTTGAAAAACTCGTCACTAGGTTCCTGTGGACTACATGCCTCACACAAGTGTCCCACATTGTTCTGTGCTATCCTGATGCCCAGACGGTCCCCTATACTGGCTCTCTGGTCGTCCAGTCTGCGGCTCTGGGAACTGGCTATCAGGTCAAAGGGCCTGGGCATTGGGCTGTTGAGGGTGCTGGCAGCGCCGGTTCTCCATGCCGCTGCTTCTGGGGTCTCTGAGCACAGTGAAAGGGCAGACCTCATTAGAGGTGACTGGGACTTACCCTTAAAAAGAATACAGAGCAAAAGATTAAACACTCTTGCAATGATTAATGAAATCCTTGATTTTGAAGCACGTTGAAACATGAAAACTTGAAACTGAATGTCAGTATAACAATTAAAGGGGTCATATGATGTTGCTTAAAAGAACATTATTTTGTGTATTTGGTGTAATGAAATGTGTTTATGTGGTTTAAGGTTAAAAAAAACACATTATT